TAGACAGGTCTTGTACTGAGTTCTCTCAAGGCAGAGCCAGTATGAACACAGTGGTTCTGTCCCAAACGGCACCATATTCCCTATACAGTGCACCAGGGCCCATAGCGCTCTGGTCTAAAGTAGTGCACTATATAGGGAATAGGGTGCCATTTGAGACGTAACCCCTAAGTGCCTTATGCCTGAGGGAACGAGACATCAGAAAGAGTTCAGACTGGCTGTGTTCCGCGCCGTTCCGCGCTACGACAGCATATTGCAGCGGGAAAAGCATAATTAGCAGGAAGCAGTTAGCAAGGCAATATTACAGTGTATTTCTGCAACTTAACGGCGTGTCGTTCTTGCGTAGGGTATACATTCGGCCCAAGCCTCGTCAACGTGGGACGACGTGTCTAACTCACTTCCTGGTAGGCAGCCTCCTTGTCCCTCATCTTCCTCTCCTGTTTCCTGCGTTCGTACGCCTCCTCCTGGTCCTCCTCACGGTCGTGCTGTTTCTCATCACGGCTCCGTTCTCTACAGGAAGAGACACACAGAGAGACGTGACTTTAAAACACTCACCACTTCTACAGCTGACCAGATGTCTGTATTCAGCCTGGAACCTGGATCTGGGTTCAGGCTGTTTCAGTGTTAACCTCATACCAACCTGGATCTGGGTTCAGGCTGTTTCAGTGTTAACCTCATACCAACCTGGATCTGGGTTCAGGCTGTTTCAGTGTTAACCTCATACCAACCTGGATCTGGGTTCAGGCTGTTTCAGTGTTAACCTCATACCAACCTGGATCTGGGTTCAGGCTGTTTCAGTGTTAACCTCATACCAACCTAGATCTGGGTTCAGGCTGTTTCAGTGTTAACCTCATACCAACCTGGATCTGGGTTCAGGCTGTTTCAGTGTTAACCTCATACCAACCTGGATCTGGGTTCAGGCTGTTTCAGTGTTAACCTCATACCAACCTGGATCTGGGTTCAGGCTGTTTCAGTGTTAACCTCATAGCAACCTGGATCTGGGTTCAGGCTGTTTCAGTGTTAACCTCATACCAACCTGGATCTGGGTTCAGGCTGTTTCAGTGTTAACCTCATACCTACCTGGATCTGGGTTCAGGCTGTTTCAGTGTTAACCTCATACCAACCTGGATCTGGGTTCAGGCTGTTTCAGTGTTAACCTCATACCAACCTGGATCTGGGTTCAGGCTGTTTCAGTGTTAACCTCATACCAACCTGGATCTGGGTTCAGGCTGTTTCAGTGTTAACCTCATAGCCAACCTGGATCTGGGTTCAGGCTGTTTCAGTGTTAACCTCATACCAACCTGGATCTGGGTTCAGGCTGTTTCAGTGTTAACCTCATACCAACCTGGATCTGGGTTCAGGCTGTTTCAGTGTTAACCTCATACCAACCTGGATCTGGGTTCAGGCTGTTTCAGTGTTAACCTCATACCAACCTGGATCTGGGTTCAGGCTGTTTCAGTGTTAACCTCATACCAACCTGGATCTGGGTTCAGGCTGTTTCAGTGTTAAACCTCATACCTAACCTGGATCTGGGTTCAGGCTGTTTCAGTGTTAACCTCATACCAACCTGGATCTGGGTTCAGGCTGTTTCAGTGTTAACCTCATACCAACCTGGATCTGGGTTCAGGCTGTTTCAGTGTTAACCTCATACCAACCTGGATCTGGGTTCAGCTGTTTCAGTGTTAACCTCATACCAACCTGGGATCTGGGTTCAGGCTGTTTCAGTGTTAACCTCATACCAACCTGGATCTGGGTTCAGGCTGTTTTCAGTGTTAACCTCATACCAACCTGGATCAGGGTTCAGGCTGTTTTCAGTGTTAACCTCATACCAACCTGGATCTGGGTTCAGGCTGTTTTCAGTGTTAACCTCATACCAACCTGGATCGGGTTCAGGCTGTTTCAGTGTTAACCTCATAGCAACCTGGATCCTGAGTTCAGGCTGTTTTCAGTGTTAACCTCATACCAACCTGGATTCTGGGTTCAGGCTGGTTTCAGTGTTAACCTCATACCAACCTGGATCTGGGTTCAGGCTGTTTCAGTGTTAACCTCATACCAACCTGGATCTGGGTTCAGGCTGTTTCAGTGTTAACCTCATACCAACCTGGATCTGGGTTCAGGCTGTTTCAGTGTTAACCTCATACCAACCTGGATCTGGGTTCAGGCTGTTTCAGTGTTAACCTCATACCAACCTGGATCTGGGTTCAGGCTGTTTCAGTGTTAACCTCATACCAACCTGGATCTGGGTTCAGGCTGTTTCAGTGTTAACCTCATACCTACCTGGATCAGGGTTCAGGCTGTTTCAGTGTTAACCTCATACCAACCTGGATCTGGGTTCAGGCTGTTTCAGTGTTAACCTCATACCTACCTGGATCTGGGTTCAGGCTGTTTCAGTGTTAACCTCATACCAACCTGGATCTGGGTTCAGGCTGTTTCAGAGTTAACCTCATACCAACCTGGATCTGGGTTCAGGCTGTTTCAGAGTTAACCTCATACCAACCTGGATCTGGGTTCAGGCTGTTTCAGTGTTAACCTCATACCAACCTGGATCTGGGTTCAGGCTGTTTCAGTGTTAACCTCATACCAACCTGGATCTGGGTTCAGGCTGTTTCAGTGTTAACCTCATACCAACCTGGATCTGGGTTCAGGCTGTTTCAGTGTTAACCTCATACCAACCTGGATCTGGGTTCAGGCTGTTTCAGAGTTAACCTCATACCAACCTGGATCTGGGTTCAGGCTGTTTCAGTGTTAACCTCATACCAACCTGGATCTGGGTTCAGGCTGTTTCAGAGTTAACCTCATACCAACCTGGATCAGGCTGTTTCAGAGTTAACCTCATACCAACCTGGATCAGGCTGTTTCAGTGTTAACCTCATACCAACCTGGATCAGGCTGTTTCAGAGTTAACCTCATACCAACCTGGATCAGGCTGTTTCAGTGTTAACCTCATACCAACCTGGATCTGGGTTCAGGCTGTTTCAGAGTTAACCTCATACCAACCTGGATCTACTGCGGTCTTTGCTGACTTCTCGACTCCTCTCCTTCACGCGTTCCCGCTCTCCTCGTTCCCTCTCTCCTCGTTCCCGCTCTCCTCGTTCCCTCTCTCCTCGTTCCCTCTCTCCTCGTTCCCTCTCTCCCCTCTCCCTTTCTCTCTCCTTCGTCCGGTCACGTTCCCGATCGATCCGGTCCCGGTCTCTGTCCCGCTCTCTCTCCTTGTTGTTGTCGTTTCTTTCCAGCTCCTTCTCTCTCTCCTTCTCCCTCTCGCGGTCCCGGCGCTCCCTCTCTCTCTCCCTCTCCTTGTCCCTCTCCCTCCTGTCCTTGTCGATCTCCTGGCGTTCCTGCTCTTTCTTTCCCTTCTCCTCCTCCAGTTTCTACAGGAAGAAGATGAGTACCCTGCGTTATCACTCTGCTGCTGTATTCACCAGACAACACGGTTTCTACAGGAAGATGATGAGTACCCTGTGTTATCACTCTGCTGCTGTATTCACCAGACAACACGGTTTCTACAGGAAGATGATGAGTACCCTGTGTTATCACTCTGCTGCTGTATTCACCAGACAACACGGTTTCTACAGGAAGATGATGAGTACCCTGTGTTATCACTGCTGCTGTATTCACCAGACAACACGGTTTCTACAGGAAGATGATGAGTACCCTGTGTTATCACTCTGCTGCTGTATTCACCAGACAACACGGTTTCTACAGGAAGATGATGAGTACCCTGTGTTATCACTCTGCTGCTGTATTCACCAGACAACACGGTCAACACAGCAGTGAGAACAAGCTACTTTTACACGTCTGCCAACATGCAGAGAAACAATACTGGATAAACAGTAGTAAGACATGAGGTAACTAGTGGTTAACAGTCCCTCTCGCTGCTCTGAGACTCCTTGCCTCTGGGGGGCCATCAGAGGAGAAGGGGTGCCATGGCCCCATGGGTAACAGAAGGGCCCATGGGTAACAGAAAACAGAAGGGCCCCATGGGTAACAGAAGGGCCCATGGGTAACAGAAGGGCCCATGGGTAACAGAAGGGCCGATGGGTAACAGAAGGGCCCATGGGTAACAGAAGGGCCCAGGGTTAACAGAAAGGCCCCATGGTTAACAGAAGGGCCCATGGGTAACAGAAGGCCCCATGGGTAACAGAAGGGCCCCATGGTTAACAGAAGGGCCCCATGGGTAACAGAAGGGCCCCATGGTTAACAGAAGGGCCCATGGGTAACAGAAGGGCCCCATGGTTAACAGAAGGCCCCATGGGTAACAGAAGGGCCCCATGGGTAACAGAAGGGCCCCATGGGTAACAGAAGGGCCCCATGGGTAACAGAAGGGCCCATGGGTAACAGAAGGGCCCATGGGTAACAGAAGGGCCCATGGGTAACAGAACAGCCCAATTGGGGAGCAGAAGGGCCCATGGGTAACAGAAGGGCCCCATGGGTAACAGAAGGGCCCCATGGGTAACAGAACGGCCCCATGGGTAACAGAAGGGCCCATGGGTAACAGAAGGGCCCCATGGTTAACAGAAGGGCCCATGGGTAACAGAACAGCCCAATTGGGGAGCAGAAGGGCCCATGGGTAACAGAAGGGCCCCATGGGTAACAGAACGGCCCCATGGGTAACAGAAGGGCCCCATGGGTAACAGAACGGCCCCATGGGTAACAGAACAGCCCAATTGGGGAGCAGAACGGCCTCAGAGTCACTGTCTGATGATTCCTTAAAGGGTTCAGCTCAGGTTTGGGTAGAAGTATTATTATTATTATTTAGATAGATACTACTCAATATTATACTATCATTATTGGTTAGATACAGTGGGGAGAACAAGTATTTGATACACTGACGATTTTGCAGGTTTTCCTACTTACAAAGCATGTACAGGTCTGTCATTTTTATCATAGGTACACTTCAACTGTGAGAGACGGAATCTAAAACAAAAATCCAGAAAATCACATTGTATGATTTTAAAGTAACTAATTTGCATTTTATTGCATGACATAAGTATTTGATACATCAGAAAAGCAGAACTTAATATTTGGTACAGAAACCTTTGTTTGCAATTACAGAGATCATACGTTTCCTGTAGGTCTTGACCAGGTTTGCACACACTGCAGCAGGGATTTTGGCCCACTCCTCCATACAGACCTTCTCCAGATCCTTCAGGTTTCGGGGCTGTCGCTGGGCAATACGGACTTTCAGCTCCCTCCAAAGATTTTCTATTGGGTTCAGGTCTGGAGACTGGCTAGGCCACTCCAGACCAGATGCTTCTTACGGAGCCACTCCTTAGTTGCCCTGGCTGTGTGTTTCGGGTCGTTGTCATGCTGGAAGACCCAGCCACGACCCATCTTCAATGCTCTTACTGAGGGGAGGAGGTTGTTGGCCAAGATCTTGCGATACATGGCCCCATCCATCCTCCCCTCAATACGGTGCAGTTGTCATGTCCCCTTTGCAGAAAAGCCTCCCCAAAGAATGATGTTTCCACCTCCATGCTTCACGGTTGGGATGGTGTTCTTGTGGTTGTACTCATCCTTCTTCTTCCTCCAAACACGGCGAGTGGAGTTTAGACCAAAAAGCTCTATTTTTGTCTCATCAGACCACATGACCTTCTCCCATTCCTCCTCTGGATCATCCAGATGGTCATTGGCAAACTTCAGACGGGCCTGGACATGCGCTGGCTTGAGCAGGGGGACCTTGCGTGCGCTGCAGGATTTTAATCCATGACGGCGTAGTGTGTTACTAATGGTTTTCTTTGAGACTGTGGTCGCAGCTCTCTTCAGGTCATTGACCAGGTCCTGCCGTGTAGTTCTGGGCTGATCCCTCACCTTCCTCATGATCATTGATGCCCCACGAGGTGAGATCTTGCATGGAGCCCCAGACCGAGGGTGATTGACCGTCATCTTGAACTTCTTCCATTTTCTAATAATTGTGCCAACAGTTGTTGCCTTCTCACCAAGCTGCTTGTCCATTGTCCTGTAGCCCATCCCAGCCTTGTACAGGTCTACAATTTTATCCCTGATGTCCTTACACAGCTCTCTGGTCTTGGCCATTGTGGAGAGGTTGGAGTCTGTTTGATTGAGTGTGTGGACAGGTGTCTTTTATACAGGTAACGAGTTCAAACAGGTGCAGTTAATACAGGTAATGAGTGGAGAACAGGAGGGCTTCTTAAAGAAAAACTAACAGGTCTGTGAGAGCCGGAATTCTTACTGGTTGGTAGGTGATCAAATACTTATGTCATGCAATAAAATGCAAATGAATTACTTAAAAATCATACAATGTGATTTTCTGGATTTTTGTTTTAGATTCTGTCTCTCACAGTTGAAGTGTACCTATGATAAAAATTACAGACCTCTACATGCTTTGTAAGTAGGAAAACCTGCAAAATCGGCAGTGTATCAAATACTTGTTCTCCTCACTGTAGATACTACTAACTATTATAATAATATTATTAGGTAGATAGATACTATTAACTATTATAATATTTTTTATTAGGTAGATAGTAGGATATATCTACCTCTTAATAATAATATTATAATAGTTAGTAGGATCTAACTATTATAATAATATTATTGGGTAGATAGATACAACTAACTATACTGAACAAAAATATAAACGCAACATGTAAAGTGTTGGTCCCATGTTTCATGAGCTGAAATAAAAGATCCCAGAAATGTTCTATAAGCACATAAAGATGTGCACAAATGTTTTAAATCCGTTAGTGAGCATGTCTCCTTAGCCAAGATAATCCATCCACCTGACAGGTGTGGCATATCAAAAAGCTGATTAAAACAGCATGATCATTACACAGGTGGACCTTGTACTGGGGACAATTAGGCCTCACTCCCCCCTATCTGAGATACCTACTGCAGCCCTCATCCTCCACATACAACAGCCGTTCTCTGCCAGTCACATTCTGTTAAAGGTCCCCAAAGCACAAACATCCCTGAGTCGCTCCTCTTTTCAGTTCGCTGCAGCTAGCAACTGGAACGAGCTGCAAAGAAAACTCTCAAACTGGACCATTTTATCTTCATCTCTTCATTCAAAGACTCAATCATGGACACTCTTACTGACAGTTGTGGCTGCTTGGCGTAATGTAATAATAATAATAATAATAATATGCCATCTAGCAGACGCTTTTATGTATTGTTGTCTCTACCGTCTTGCCCTTTGTGCTGTTGTCTGTGCCCAATAATGTTTGTACCATGTTTTGTGCTGCTACCATGTTGTGTTGCTGCCATGTTGTGTTGCTACCATGTTGTGTTGCTGCCATGTTGTGTTGCTGCCATGTTGTGCTGCTACCATGTTGTGTTGTTGTCATGTGGTGTTGCTACCATGCTGTGTTGTCATGTGTTGCTGCCATGCTATGTTGTTGTCTTAGGTCTCTCTTTATGTAGTGTTGTGGTGTCTCTCTTTATGTAGTGTTGTGGTGTCTCTCTTTATGTAGTGTTGTGGTGTCTCTCTTTATGTAGTGTTGTGGTGTCTCTCTTTATGTAGTGTTGTGGTGTCTCTCTTTATGTAGTGTTGTGGTGTCTCTCTTTATGTAGTGTTGTGGTGTCTCTTGTCGTGACGTGTGTTTTGTCCTATATTTTTAATCCCAGCCCCGCAGGCCTTTTGGCAGGCCGTCATTGTAAATAAGAATTTGTTCTTAACTGACAATAATAATAATAATAAATGGCCTCTCTAAAATGTGCGGTTTTGTCACGTGACACAATGCAACAGATGTAAAGTTTTGCGGGAGCGTTCAATTGGCATGCTGACTGCAGGAATGTCCACCAGAGCTGTTGCCAGAGAATTGAATGTTCATTTCTCTACCATAAGCCGCCTCCAATGTCATCTTAGAGAATTTGGCAGTACGTCCAACCGGCCTCACAACCGCAGACCACGTGTAACCACGCCAGCCCAGGACCTCCACATTCGGCTTCTTCACCAGCGGGATCGTCTGAGACCAGCCACCCGGACAGCTGATGAAACTGAGGAGTATTTCTGTCCGTAATAAAGACATGTGAAATCCATAGATTAGGGCCTAATGAATTTATTTCAATTGACTGATTTCCTTATATGAACTGTAACTCAGTAAAATCGTTGAAATTGTTGCATGTTGCGTTTATATTTTTGTTCAGCTTATTATAATATTATTTGATACATACTACTATTATAACATCATTAGTATTATTAGGTAGATAGATATAACTACTATAATATAATTATTAGGTAGATAGACACAAAGCCATAGTCTTTTTCGACTACCATAAAAATACTTTTGGACAAGTCAACATTTTTCTTCAGGAAAATGACCCCTTCTAGTTTATGAATGTGCTTTGCTATCGTAAAAATAAAAATAAATTGTCAATAAACTAAATTGAACTCACTGACAATGGGCAATCT